CAGGTTATACCTGCAACGCTACTTTTGGTAAGAAAAATCTTAGAATCTTTTTGGCAAATAAGTTGAAAGGCAGGACCTAATAAGAAATTAAAATCTCATTTGCTAAACCTGGATAGATCTTGGAAATAATTAACTCTCTCACCAAATAGTACTAATAGTAAACATTTCCGTTTTTGAAAATGTTGAACATGCTACAGTTGGGAGTGTCACACAGAAAATATTCATGGCATGATTGAAACTACAGAAAACCTAACAAATGAAACACCCTGACCCAAACCTCAAGGTATTCTAGGACAGATATATTACAATGTGGGAGGGGCAAATTAGAAAAACACACATCATTAGCAGTTAAACTGCGTTTCACTGGGGGGAGTTCCAGAAATCATTTCAATAAGAAAGAGACCTGAGGGTCGAAGAAGAAGAAAGCATTTCAGAGAACAAGCAGACTTATGAGAATGAACCGGGAGAGAAGAGCAGGATCCTAAGTGAGTATGCCTGAGATGGGAAGGGAAGAGTTGAAGGAAATTAGGACGCCACCGGGTTAATGTGGCTGGGCTGCACTACCCAAGTCCAGGGTAACGATCCTCATCATGTTCTCAAGTACAGTGAGAAACCAATGGCCCAGCTTTGCTGCTAACTTCCTCCATGGTTCTATTCAAGTCCTCCTCCTTACTGAGGTCTCGATTTCTTTTAGCTAGGACTGATGACAAGGGCTTGGGTTGGCTGATCTTTAAGATATCACTCAGCTTTTGTAAAATAAAAAAAAAAGCAATGAATCAGTAAGTCCACTTTGATGCGGGGCCAACATGGCAGAGTACTCAGACACTTCTTGTGGTCCCTCTCACAACAAAGACCCAAAAAAACAAATGAATTGATTATATATGACAGTCTAGGAGCCCTGAACATCAAAGGCAAAGTTGAGGAATCGGACTGAGTGGCAGGGGGAAGTAGAGATGGTTCAGAAGCAGCGAGGAGTTGCCAGACCTGACCTGGCAGGGACTGGAACCCTGCAGGCTGGTTCGGCTGGTGTGCACAGTGAGACAAGCAGTGGCACTCGGGACACATTTTCCACATCAGTAGACACCAAACTGTGGAGAGTCTACTCGATCCTCCAGAACCAATGAAAAGCGGCGCTCAACTGGCAAAAGATAAGTACACGCGTCTAATCCACTGCGCAGATCAAAAATCACCCCGTTTGGGAAAAAGCTCTCTCCCATTTACCTGCCTCCTCACCACTCTGCATGGGGTCCTGGGCCAGCTTCAGTAACTCCTGCGTCCCCAGGGCTGGAAGTAGGACCTGTCACGCACCCTGAGCCATTATCCTGGCCTTGGAGAAGAAACAAATGAACATAAACAGGGAAAAAATAATCTGCCAGCTCCCCTATGCTGGGAACTCAGGGCAGGCACAGCTCCTTTGCCCAGGCACAGGCATAAGGGGTCCACGGATTTTGAATGTCTTTTACCCAGGCATAGGCCTTTGTGGGCCCATTTCAACAGCATAGGCCTTCAATAGCACAGTACAACACCTGAGCTGAATGCATACAAGAAAAGTAAATGGACTCCTGGGCGCACATACCAAGTCACAGATGTAACCACCGGCTGTCAGGACGTTAGAGCTTCAAAGGTGCCAATAATCAAACTAGCACACACGAGCAGCCTATTTGGGCATATCAAAACAAAACAAAACAAGAAGCTAGGACACAGTAAGTAAACATAAAATAAATAAATATGATAACTTACTGATGGCTCAGAGACAACAGTCAGTATCAAATCATATAAATAGAGGCAGACCATGATGGCTTCAGCAAGCTCCCAAAACAAAGAATAAAGAAAGGATCAAAATCAAAACATTAACCCTACAACTCAAACAAACAGAGAGCAGCAAAAGAAGCCCTTGGGCACCAGAAGAAAGGAAATAATAAAAATTAGAACAAAATTAAATGAAATAGAAAATTGGGAAAAATAAAAAAAAAAAAAACAACTGGAAGAGTTAATAAGACCAAAAGCTGGTTCTTTGAAAAGATCAACAAAATCAATAAACCACTGGCCAAACTGACAAAAGAAAAACAGGAGAGGAAGCAAATAACCCGAATAAGAAATGAGATGGGCGCTATCACTTCGAAGATGAAATCACCAAATCAATACCATTTACAATACTTAGGAATAAATCTAACCAGAGACATAAAAGACCTATACAAATAAAACTACAAGACACTACTGCAAGAAACCAAGAGACCTACATAAGTGGAAAAACATACCGTGCTCAGGGACAGAAAGACTCAACACTGAAAATGTCTATTCTACCCAAAGCGATCTACAGATACAATGCAATTCCAATCCAAATTCCACTCGCATTTTTTTCATGAGACGGAAAAACAAATCACCAACTTCAAATGGAAAGGGAAGAGGCCGTGGATAAGTAAAGCATTACTCAAGAAGAAGAATCAAGTGGGAGGCCTCACACTACCTGATTTTAGAAACTATTATACTGCCAGTAGTCAAAACAGCTTGGTACTGGTACAATAACAGATCCACAGACCAATGGAACAGAATTGAGAATGCAGACGTAAATTCATCCACCTATGAGCAGCTGATATTTGACAAAGGCCCAAAGTCCATTAATTGGGGAAAAGACAGTCTCTTTAACAGATGGTGCTGGTGTAACTGGATATCCATCTGCAAAAAAATGAAACAAGACCCATATCTCACACCATGCACAAAAACTAACTCAAAATGGATCAAAGACCTAAACATAAAATCTAAAACGATAAAGATCATGGAAGGAAAAATAGTGACAATGCTAGGAGACCTAATACTTGACATAAACAGAATACAAAACATTACTAACATTGCACAAACACCAGAAAAGAAACTAGATAACTGGGGGCTCCTGAAAGTCAAACACTTACGCTCATCAGAAGAGTAAGAAGATAACTACAGACTGGGAAAAAATTGTTGCCTATGACAAATCCAATCGGTGTATAATCTCTAAAATCTACAAGATACTGCAAAACTCAACAACAAAAAGACAAATAACCCAATTAAAAAATGGGCAAAGGATACGAACAGGCACTTCACCAAAGAAGACATTCAGGCAGATAACAGATACATGAGGAAATGCTCATGATCATTAGCCATTAGAGAAATGCAAATCAAAACTACAATGAGATACCATCTCATCCCAGTAAGGCACACAAAATAGTAAATGTTGGAGAGGTTGTGGAGAGCCTGGAACACTTCTACATGGCTGGTGGGAATGCAGAATGGTACGACCACTTTGGAAATCGATTTGGCACTTCCTTAAAAAGCTAGAAATAGAAGTACCATACGACCCAGCAATCCCACTCCTTGAAATATATCCTAGAAATAAGAGCCATCACATGAATAGATATATGTACACCCATGTTCACTGCAGCACTGTTCGTGATAGCAAAAAGATGGAAACAACCTAGATGCCCATCAATGGACGAATGGATAAACAAACTATGGTATATTCACGCAACAGAATACGACGCAACGATAAAGAACAATGATGAATCCATGAAACATAACATGGAGGAAGCTGGAAGGCATTATGCTGAGTGAAATTAGTCAGTCGCAAAAGGACAAATATTGCATGAGACCACTATTATAAGAACTCGAGAAAAGGTTTAAACATAGAAGACATTCCTTGATGGTTATGAGGGTGGGGAGGGAGGGAGAGGGGAATTCACTAACTAGATAGTAGATAAGAATTATCTTAGGTGAAGGGAAGGACAACACACACTACAGGAGAAGTCAGCACAACTGGACTAAACCAAAAGCTAAGAAATTTCCTGAATGCAACCAAACACTTCAAGGGACAGAGTAGCAGAGGCAGGGTTCTGGGTACCATGGTTTCAGGGGATTTCTAGGTCAACTGATACAACAAAATTAAGAAAATTTTCTGCATCCCATTTTGGCGAGTGGTGTCTGGGGTCTTAAAAGCTAGTGAGCAGCCATCTAAGATGCATCAATTGGTCCCAACCCACTTGGAGTAAAGGAGAATGAAGAACATCAAAGTCATAAGGAAAGTATTAGCCCAAGAGAAAGGGCCACATAAACCAGACTCCATCAGCCTGATACTAGAACTAGATGGTGCCTGGCTACCACCAGTGACCACCCTGACGGGGAATACAACAGAAAGTCCCTGACGGAGCAGGAGAAAAGTGGAGTGCAGAACTCAAATTCTAGTAAAAAGACCAGACTTAATGGTCTGACTGAGACTGGAGGGACCCCAGAAGACACAGCCTCCAGACTCTCTGTCAGCCCAGAACTAAAACCATTGCCGAAGCCAACTCTTCAGACATAGATTAGATTGGACTATAAGACATAAAATGACACTTGTGAAGAGAGTGCTTCTTAGCTCGAGTAGATACATGAGACTAAATGGGCAGCTCCTGTCCAGAGGCGAGATGAGAAGGCAGAAAGGGGCAGGAGCTGGTTGAATGGACACGGGAAATCCGGGGTGGAATGGAGAAGTGTGCTGTCCCATTACAGAGAGAGCAACTAGGGTCACCTAACAGTGTGTATAAATTTTTGTATGAGAAACTAACCTGAACTGTAAAGGCTCACTTAAAGCACAAAAAAAAAAAGTCCACTTCGACGCCAGTCTTGGACAATGGCAGAAATAAAGCGCTACCACAGGAGCCCCAAGATGAAATGGTGTAGGTGAGAGGTGACACTGGTTCCGTTGATCTTGGCTCTGTTTCAGAGGACAGACGAAGATGCAACGGGAAACACAGCAGGATTTGACAACGGGATAGACACAAGGCGCAAAAGGAGACATCTAAAATCATCTAAGGTTTTCTCTGCAGAGAAAACATTGCAGAATTTCAAAAGAATGATTCATATTTCAGAGTAAACAGGGATACACTTTTCTCCAAAGTGTAAAGTTTATAAATTATTAATGCCCTGTCCTCCCTCATTCAAGAAATACTTGAGCTTTAACTGGGTACCAGGCACCGAGCTAGGCTCTGGTATACAGCGTTCAGCAGAACAGAACGTTTTACTAGGAACAGGTTTGCAGGTTAGAAGCCTCTAACACTTGAAGGGGAGTTTGTATGTGTGTATCTCAAGGGTCCACCTGGACCAAAATGCCTTCTCCATCCAGCCTGGCTCCCACCACGCCACCAATCTAACAATAAGCAAGCACCGCAAGCAGCCCAGGTGATTCAAACTGCGCACTGAAGTAAATATATTTCCTTTTGCTTTTGAGAACACATTTTTTTTAATTATGCAAAATAAGCAAGTTTTTTTTTTAAACCATGTTTCCTTGTATACTTTTACATAATGCTATGCCTCAAGAATTCACACATCTGAAGTTTCTTATTCTAAGATTACCAAATAACTGGTCTCTCCTTGTAGCTGTAAATTCAAGTCAATTAACCAAACACATTCTGCACTAGTTCTATTGACTTGTTCCAAACCAAATGTGAAATACGTTAGATGAATTCTGACCGTTTTATTCTCAAGTCATTACAGTGTTCAACCAGTTTGACATATAAAGGTCACAGACGTAAAAGTAAACATTGGGAGGATATTTACGATTCCCATTCTGAAAGAAGATATGTACAGAAAAAAAAATGCAGCAAATATTAAGGTATTCAAAGTAATTTTCTGGACAATTCAGATGTGACATATTTACAAGGAAGTATAAGTTTCAAAATAATTAAATAATTTTCAAAGAATTACAAAAGTATTGAGATAAATATGAGGAGACCCTGACAATCACAAGCACATTTTCCTAGGCTACTGAATATAAGGGTAGTTCTATAAAAAGTCCCAAAATAGAGCTAATATTCTGCTGCCATGAAACATATCAAATTACCAATACCGAAATATGCTAAAATGAACATGCAATGGGAAAGCTGTACCAAAGAAAACAGCATTTGACTCTTGAATATTGCAAAGTGTCTACACAAGATTGCTTAGATGTGTTCCTGAAAAGAGGTCTTTCAAAACAGCCATTATTACAGATGTATCGGCAAAAGTGGTAACTATTTAGAATCTTTAGATTTTTATTTATTTCAGGTATAGCTGCAAAAGAGGAAAAATCAAAATATAACTTTAAAAGATATTAGCTTATGAATAAAAAAGTTGTGCAGTGCACACTTCATGCATTTGGATTTCTGAACAGATGTTATGTAATTCTAGTATGGTAGATATTAAACCTCTGGACCCCACCACTGTAGTAGGAAATTTTTCTCTCTCCCCGACAAGAAGTCAACTTAGAAAGTACAAAGGAGAAATGGTGATATGCATGAATCCAAAACAAAACAGTACTATAAAATGGCAAAATATCATAAAAACAGCAGCATGTGAAATTCAAGACTGTCTTCTTAAAGTAAATATTTAAGACTGAGCCGCAAAAATGGTCCTTGCTCAAACTGCTCTATTACTCAACACCTGCAACCAAAGGTTCTTTAGAGCGGTGCCTGTATTCATGATATCCCCACCATTAAATGTGTACTCAAATTTGTTTTTTAAAACATACATATTGCACAGACAGAAGAATGCCCGCATCTGGTATTACTAACATAAAATGCTATCTTATTTAACACATTAAACCATGTTACTAAAAATTAAGTTTATCCCAATGTCCAAAACCAATCAAGTAGGAGTTATGAGCACAGCAATCTCAAAACATCCCTAAACAAGAAGAGAAAACACAGGCGCTTGAATACAGGTTATTAGTGACAAAACTCAGAGCCCAGAACTGCATGACTAAGGGCAGTTGTCAATTACGTCTTTAGGTATGAACTCCAGGTCTTTCACTGATTCAAATACAGAAACAAGCGCTAGTTACAAAACTGGTAAGAAAATCAGATCTCCCAACAATTTCATACCAAGTGACAGTTTCCACTGAATAAACCACTGACTGCTGCAATCCTGATTGTTTTCAAATACATGTCTAAGACATACTTGTTTAAATTCTAGCTTTCCCCTTTTTTCTACCTCAATACAACACAGCCCTCACCAATGGTCCAATAACACCCTCTATGCAAAACTTACCACTCACTTTGAAATCCAGGGTATCAAAAATGGTTATAATTTTCAAAATAGTCTACATTGTAGTATAAATTTTACAGCACCACAGACATCATGAGTTTGGAAATCTCAGTCTGGCAATATTCCACTCAATACTATTAATCAATAAGAACGTGTAAATATTGAACATTTAAAAGGATGTCACAGTAGCATTTTTAAAACGACCAAAATAATTAATAAGCTTTTTTAATGTTTTAAGTTGTTAAATGTCGAAACCGTCAAATTCACTAGCAAAAAATATCACACACACACATTTTTATCACCCAGATGAGAACATACAAAGCTTCAGACAGCTGGTACTGAGTCACTTCGTTTTTTCTCCTTTTCTTAAAAGAAATTACATTAGTTTGGCCACTCCCTAGATTCTTGGTTTACCAGCTTATAAAGAGTGCATCTAAGAGACAGTACAATATATGCATTAACAATCATTTCACCCTTTATCATCTTTGGCAAGAAGCCTCATGAAAGGAAACAAAGGGACTGAGAAGGCGGTCAGGCTCCACATGCTTCCATCCTTCACACATCACTAACTGGAAGGCTCGCGTCATCCAAGTCCACTGGGCCGCCATCTTTTTCCTGAGGGCCATTTTTACTTTGAGGTTTCAGCAGAGCTTGCTCAGTCACTTTGGAAGCTGGTTCTCTTGGAGAGACAGTCTGGATCTTGAAGCTCCCTGGCTTGACCTTGGCAAGAGATTCGTAAAATCCTCGCTTCTCCATGGCAAAGCTTGAGACCAGAGAGCTGCTGCGAGTGGCTGTGGAATGTGAGGGGGCTGCTGAGCCACTGGCGGGCCGGAGAGCATGTTCGGACTCTGCAGGGCAGGTGGAATGCTCCTGGAAAGAAGAGAGGTGGTCAGACACAGTCAACCATTAACGACGAGGTTAGTAATTCAGTGCGAGACTTTATTCTCTGAAAAACAAACACAACAACACACACGAACACACAACGTGGAAGCATGAGCTGTGGTAGCATAAACATGCAAGTGCTTTCCCAAAGCAATGCAGTTTTAGGGGTGAGTTTCAAGCAATGACAGCCAACAACCATTTCCACTAAGAAACCAGTTCTGTCACCAAAGCTGAATTTGGCAGTTTACGATACTTTGAAGATTCAACCAGCCTAAACCAGAATACGGTGTTCCAATGGCAAATGAACTGTGCTGAAGAGGGAGCCTACCAGTCTGGTTATTTTATGTAAGAATATATTCTCAATCAACACTAGGAATTATCCCACGTTTTACTATTTTAGACAAAAAATGATGTTGCCTTACTTAGTAAGTAGGAATCAACATTTTTCAAAAATACTCTTTTGACTGGTAGCCTGACAAACGTAGAAGTTCTTGCTTCCCTGAATTTCACAGTCACCAATAATAGTGTAATATTTTTACTTTTTATTTAATTTCATTTATTTAATTCTGAATATGTCATGCATCCATATGGTTCAAGATTTTAAAGGTAACAAAGGATACACAGTTAAATCATTTTTAAAAACGGTGGCAAAGAATTATTAGTTGAGAATATCAATTTCAATATGCTTTTAACTAGGTCAAATCTGAAGGTATCCTTAAATATGACCATTCTGAATGCACTGTCATATAGTTCTAGCACACTGTGTTCATTTATGTACTAGGCACTGTGAATACTAAACGCTGCAATTTACCAAACCTTGTAGATTCCCATTAGATGCCTAGATTTCACCTGAGATTTAAGATGCCACACCAACTACAGTAATGCACACCTTATCCTAAGCAGATGCACGCATGAGTTTGCACATATTACCAGAACAAAGGTGCATCTGAAGGTTGTATACAAAAAACTTCAAAATACGTAAAACACAGAAATTGAAACTGTGGCATTCAGCAAACTAATTTTGAGAAGATAACTTCATGACTTTTTCAATTTGTAAAGTTTTAGTTTTTCATTATTCTTTTTTTTTTTTAAATAACATATATCCAACCTGATGACTGTAGTGAAAAAGACTGAGTTAGTGTTGACGAAGTCAGTTATAGTAACTGCAAAAGGCAGTCTGGTTAACTCAACTTGGTATGATCAGTTGTGAGTAGTGAGTAAGTCCGGGCCCTCTAGTAAGAAGGCACGTTTGCGTGAGCGCCCACATACGTGCTGCATTCACCAGTTCTGGAGGTATACCTCTGTATACAAGGATTCGACAGCCTTCTGGCCTGCCGCATCTGGAACACAGTGCAAAGCTAAGATTAGAGTTTACCTATACTGGGGAGAGGGAGGAAAAGAGAAAGTTTGCTGACAGTCATAGCCAGTAGCCCCATTTGCCCCCACCACAAAGCACAAAACGCAAACGCCCTTCTCCAGCTTTTCCTCTTCCCAACAGACATTGTGTTTGCAGAGAGTCTCATAGTTGACCGCTGAAAAGTCACAAGAAACACAGGCAGTTACAAAATTAACACCTAGGAAAGAGACTTACAGATATTCTGAAAAGGATAGGAGAATGACTGAAACAATTAAGAAATGAGAAAAATGGATTTCTATTTACTTAACGGTGGGTATTGTTAACAGGAAACTATTAAAAGTCAGTATTTACACAACATCACCATCAGGAAAAATATCAAAAGTACAGAATATCTAGCATTTATAATAAATTTAGATAATAACGAGATTATGCTATATACTAGACTGCATTCTGCACGCTAAAGTGCAATATTTTAAGCAACTTTAAAAGTTTTCATTCACCAACAGAATTCATATTTTGAGATCAGAGACCAGTGACCAAAGTACTCCAAAAGAAAATCGTATTCCTATGATGTACTTGAACACCATGAATAAAAAACATTTTTCTTACTATTTCTGAGTAGAATGCTCTGTTTCAATTTTATTATCATGGTAGCACAAAGATAACTGTGGCAGTGAAAAGAGGCAGGCTTTTAAATTACCCTACTAGAAAACTGAGACTGAAAACCTGCAATGCATAATCCTGACTCAGAGCACCAAATTGCATGTAAAAATCCAGCTGTTCAATAGGCTGATAGCACTATTAAGCCCTCCACTCCCCCCAAAAAAACTTCACTGAAATTAGCGGACGTGAAGAGGAAATCGAGATGTTCACAAACCTGTGTAATGCTTTCAGTAAAGGTGCTTGACACGATTAGGCCACATATCATACTAAGACTCTGTCAAGTTATACTAAATCTAGACCTAGTGACTAGTAAGAATCCCTAAAACAAAGCAAGGAAACGTTCATTCTTTCGTTGCCTTGCTTGTGCATTTAAGACAATACAATGCACAGAAAGTTATGTATACAGAACACTACAAGGAAGCATTAAATTAGAAATGCATTATTTTCGGCAAGTCCAATTGGTACGAAAGTCAACATGCAAATACGTCTCAACAGGATTAGGGGGAGAGGAAGGAAAATAACTCGACAGGATGGGGGGGGCCCAAGGGAGTACCACCCCAGGGAGCAGGACACATACAGAAGACGCTGACCGGCCGGGTCCCCGCTGTGCGACAATGGCACCAGAGATGGCTTTAATCCAACCGTGCATCTCCTCGGGGCTATCAGCCTAAAGGAGAGAAAGGGCTCAGTCGGTCAGTGTTTCCTCAAAGTCGGCTAATACATCTACAAATCCAACGCGATTATTTTGGTAACTCAGTGTCACCCATAAAATCATTCTAAGGCAAAGGTTTCCAACATTTTTAGAAATCACTTCTTAAAACCAGGTCCTGCTAGGTAAGCTATCATACAGAGATATAAGTTGCCACTTAACATTTTAGTATCAGACACATCAAAACTGTCAATGATGAAGACTTTGAGAGAGAAAACAAGAAGAGGGAGAAGTCAAAGGAAGGTCTTCTCATTTCACTCCACCACTCTAGTGTCTGAATCTGCTACAAGAATATTTATGCAACTGTGTATTTGAAAAACCATTTTGACATCATTCTCTATCTTACTTTTCTAGAAATAATTTCTAGTAATATCCTGAATTCTAAAGGGATTAGTATTCATATTCCAAAATATTATCTTCCTTTGACAGGACCTGGCTGCCAATTCAACTTTAAAACCTCACTTTAACATTAATCCAATTAGACAAGGCCCTAAGAGAGGTACAGGCACACTGCTGCTTCTTCTAGATTCTAGAACATAGATGTTCAAAAATTTTAAAGATACAAATTCATATTTTTTAACCAATGATATTAACAAAGACTTTTTAACAAGAAAAACTCAATGTAAGCAAAGGTAAAGAGTATACTTTCATTCACTGTTAACAGGAGCACAATTCCAGAAAGCAATCTGGCAAAATAAAGAGGTTTAAAAAGGTTCCTCTCTATCCAGAAATTTATCCTAAAGAAATAAGAAATTCAGACAAATGTATGTACAAAGATGTTTATCACATTATTCATCATAATAAATATATGAAAACAATGTAAGTGAACGTTCAGTAAGAGAGTCACGGAGAACAGTTTGTGGAATGTGCATACAATGAACCATGGTGCAGTCCTAAAAGGTCTTCAGAGAATTTTTAACGACGTGGGAAAAATGACTACGGTATATGAAACATATGACAGTATGCTTAGCATGACCCCACCTGTTATAATCAGATGTGCTTTAACAAAAGCAGTAAAAAAAAAAATAAGAGCAGTTGCCTGAATATGTGAGTATGCGTGCTTTATAAGTCATCTTTTCCTATACTTTCTAAATGTTCTACAATAGGCATATATAGCATTTAAAAAACAAAAATAAATGCTTAAAAAAAATTTCAATCTAATTAGTTCAATGTGGTAACCAAAAAGTACATTTTAAACTTAAAATATAGGATGCCTACCCTGGTGGCATAGCGGTTAAGAGCTATGGCTGCTAACCAAAAGGTCAGCAGTTCGAATCCACCAGGCGCTCCTTGGAAACTGTATGGGGGCAGTTCTACTCTGTTCTGTAGGGTCACTATGAGTCAGAGTCAACTCAATGGCAATGAGTTTGGTTTTCTGGTTTTTACCATCAGTGAAACTGTAAAAGCTACTGTCTATTCTATTATGGGTACTTGCACCCGTTTCTTATAAAACTACAAAAAAATTATATATAGAAAATAAATTCTAAAATATGTGCAAAAATAATCCAACTTGAAGGTACATACTTAGCATCTAAGTGAAAAAAGCATTTCCTTCTTCCAAATATTACTTAGTTCTGTTTCACTAATTCATAGGAAAGAATAGCCTCATTTCCTAAACGTATGACCTGTCAATAACCCTTCATATAACAACCTTTTATTAAATTGGTGAATTATAGTTGTTATATTTTTTTTTAACCTCATAAGCAACAAGCTTATCTAGGCTCTATTTCACATCTAAGATTATGAATTTCTTGTTAGGAGGATCTATAATCTCCAAATAAGTATCTTACCTGCACATAGAAAGTTCGAGACGTTGTTACAATTTCAAAGAGATTGTCCCTCATCATTATGTCACTGTAACAAAAAATTATTACCTTGTACTTAATTAGCAGTTGATTGAGGGTTTTACTTGTTTACCCAGAACTAAGTATGTATCAATAAGAAAATAAATATTAAAGGTAAAATACTGATTTAAAAAAACCAAATTTATATATTTTTCAATTTATTTTGAATTTCTGCATAAGTTACATACTTCTTAGAAAAGGTTTATAAAGCAATTTTAAAATTCAAAGTTTTCAACTGTGAAGAAATCAGTTTGTTCAAAGAAACACTGGCACAGCTAATTTTACAGCAACCTTGAAATACTAAAAATAACACAATTTTGTATCTGACGGTACAATTATAAGCTGTTTATATCAGATTTTTCCCTTTGCATTAGAGTAAGCTAAATGCTGTTTCCTCATTTTTAGTTTTCACATAAACAAAACAATTCAATTCTTTTATCTGAGGGTTTTGAAAATTCTAGCATATATAACTATAAGATTAAAAATAACAACAGCACTAATACTGAAAATACAATCTGTAAGCACGTTAATCAAACTAAGGCATGTTATGTACTAATAAGTTGTGCCAGACATCAAGTCAGTGTTGTTCCTTACCTTTGCTTACACTCCTGAACTTTATGAACCTCTTTAAGTGGTATTACACGGAGAGGTTCCTTTTCCTGCCAAAAAAGCAAACAAACCAATACATGACATTTTGGGGTTGGCTGTCCGTTTAACAGTTAGCTATCCTTTTAAGGATTAGTTGTCTTACGTGGAGATCTATGGAGACATTACGCTTCTTTCTTGAAGCACGTCCAAAATATAAATCTACCTTTTCAAACCATTCCGCATCAGAAAAGCTCAAATACTATAAACCATGGGTACACTTTTGTCTGAAACAAGGAAGCTAGCATATAACCTATATCCCCATTACTTTTGGCCTTCATGACACTGTTGATGTTGTTAGGTGCCATCAAATCGATTTTTGACTCATACTGACCCCATGTGACAGAGAAGAACTGCCTCATAGGGTTTTCTAGTCTGTAATCTTTACAAGAACAGACTACTAGGTCTTTCTCCCGTGGAGCTGCTGAGTGAGTTCAAACCGCTGACCTTTTGGTTAGTAGTGGAGCGCTTAACCGCTGCATGACCAGGGCTCCTTTTCATGACACTATAGCTTATTAAAAACCATTAACCATCAAGATTTTTCTCCAATAGGCTTCTGGGGGCCCAGTAAATGCAGTACTTCCTCTTAGAATGGTACTTCAATATACAAGGCACCCACCTGACTAGTGTACATTCAGTCTCTTTCACATAAATTTGTCATTTTCAGAATATCACTTTTACGTGAATACAGTAATTATTTTAACAAATACCATTTACTGAACATTTATTTAGTGCTGGGACATCTGCTAGGTTTTAAACACCTCACTTAAACTTTCCACAACCCTACAATACTTGTATTATTATTCATCTAAGAAAATCGAGGATTAGACATGTTAAGTGTCTTGCCTAAGGTCACAAAACTAGATATAAGTTACAACTAAAAGACATAACCAAGTCCTAATAATGTTTATATGGTATATTCCATGAAATACTACATATGGTATTCACTGAATATATGACATGATGAATTAAGACATACTTTTATGTGGCACAAAGAAAAAAGTAAATCATGTCAGTGCTTTTATTTTAATCATGTAAATCTTTTTTTAAGTTTCTTAAAATTTTATTTTGAAATAATTTCAGACTATAGAAGAGCTACAAAAATAGTACAGAAAATTTGTGTATACTTTGCAGCCTGTTTTCCAAAATGGTATATTTATTAGCTGGAATTTTCCTCTAAGGAAAAGCTTTTCCTTCTCCATTTACACACTCATGACTCTTGCTTTATTCCATGGGCTACAATCTATTACTATCATTATTTATTTGCTGAAATTATCCCAGTTTTGGAGCCCCTTCAAGCTGGCTTCTGTGTCCTTCTGACATGTCCCCATCATTCTCTGAGCTATTTCCTTAGTTTCTGGCACAACCAGATGTTCTAGGCACAGTTTGTACTTTCCCTGCCCCAGCTCTGAAATCAGCAATTTCTCAAGAGGCCCTGGCTCCCTTTGTTAAGAGAATGGCATTTATAGTTGCTTTTTATGGGGAGAGTATTTGCCCATCTCTTCACTCAACCACAGGTGGAAGTTCTGCCCCTCCCTCCCTCCTTCCTTCTCTCCTTTCTTCCTTCTTTATAGCTGCACAGAACTCCACTGGGTAGATATCTGAGTTTATCTAACCTCTCTGCTACACATGTGGACATTTTGGTTATTTCCAATTTTGTAATTGCAAACAATGCTGCAATCTGAATAACTTCATGCATAGGTATTTTCTTATTCTTAGAAATGTATCTCAGAGAAAATTCCTAGACATGGGAGTGCTGAATTGAAAATAAATACATACATAGCTTTGTTAGATAATGCCAAATTCCCCTCCAAAAAGGTTCTATCAATTTGTATTGCCACCAGCAATATATGAGCTTATCATCTGATCATCAAAATGTGCTGCCATAACGTTTAATTTTTCAATGTGAGAAATGAGAATATTTCACTGAACTTTTAACTTGATTTCTCTAAATATGTACAATGTTGAACATCTTTTTATAAGTTTAGGGGCTCTATTTACTTGTTTTAAAATAAACTGTCTACTCTTATCTGCTGCAAATTTTTCTACCAGATATACTGTCCCTCTATATTCTCTCCCTTTCAACTCTGAAGTAATCACAAACTTGCACAAGCCTGAAAATACTGTTCAGAGAACCGACTTTCCTAAACCATTTCAGACTGAGTTGCTGACCTGTGCCCCATTACTACTGAATGCTTTCCTGTGTATTTTCTATAAAGACATTCTCTTATGTAACCACAATACAACCATCAAAATCAGGAAATTGTCCCCAAAATGTCTTTTATTAAAGCAAAAGGATTCAGTTCAGAATCACAAATACCATTTACTTGTCATTATCTCTTTTCTTGCCTTCAGTCTGGAACAGTTCCTCATTCTTTCCCTGACTTTCATAATCTTGACACTTTTGAAGATTACAGGCCAGTTTACTCTGTAGAACGGCTCTCAGTTTGGGTGTGTCTGATGTTTCTTCAGGATTCGATTCAGCTTATGCATCTTCAAGCAGGAACATCACAGAAGTGATGTCACATTCTTCTCATTCTGTCCCATCAGGTGCTATGTGATTTCAATTATCTCATCACCAATGACGTTCACTTTAATCATCTATCACTTGATTAAAGTGAATCTGCCAGACTTCTTTACTGTGAAGTTATTCCTTTCCCCCTTATGATTTATATGCATTTTGTGGGAGTACTTTGAAACTATACAAATATCTCATTCCTCATCACACATTCATACATACATGTTGTTGTTGCTGGGTGCCACTGAGTTGCTTCCGACTCACAGCAACCCCGTGTACAACAGAATGAAACACTGCCTGCCCAGTCCCGCGCCATCCTCACAACCATTGCTGTGTTTGAGGCCACTGCTGCAGCCACTGTGCCAATCCACCTCATTGAGGGTCTTCCTCTTTTCTGCTATCTTCTACCTTACCAAGCATGATGTCCTTCTCCAGGGACTGGTCCCTCCTAATAACATGTCCAAAGTACATGAGACGAAGTCTCACCATCCTCACTTCTAAGGAGCATTCTGGTTATACTTCTTCCAAGACAGACTTGTTCGTTCTTCTGGCAATCCATGGTATATTCAATATTCTTTTCTGACACCATCATTCAAAGGCATCAATTCTTCTTTGGTCTTATTCATTGTCCAGCTTTTGAATCCACATGAGACAACTGAAAACATCATGGCTTATTCATTTATATCTGTAGAGATTCATGGATTCCTATTTTATTCAATGGGTTACCTGTTACCATAATTATTCACTTTGATGTTCTTACTGTCCCAAAGCTGGTCAGGAGGAATGCTGTCAAGCTGGCTTCTTCTGCACCACCAGGAACTCCTAGTCTGTCTACTTACAAAAGTTATGTTTAAACTTTTCCATAAAAAAAGAGTTTTGCAAAAGGGCCCTTTTATACTTTAGACATCAATTTTTATCATATATCTCTCTTGAGCATATAGAAAAAAGAAAAATGAAAGCAAAATAAATTGCTTAAGGTTTTAAAAAATTTCTCATCCAGATTCCAACCTTACCAAATCACTTTTTGACTCAGAGCCATTGATGCCAATGTTTTCCACTCCATACCATACCATTCTCTGTGACAAAAAGATCAGCAGTGATGCAGCACTTCTTAAGAATGTTCTACTGTGTCACCGAGATTTTCTTCCCAGCTGCCAGCACCCTATTTTGCAGGTCTTGATTGATGCTGCTGTTTTGATCTTACCCAAAGGTGCTGTGCACACGCAGGCCAGCCTGTTGGTCACCACCCCTGCAGCAACTGTAAGACACACCTCCAAGATTCCAAAAATGTTGAAAGGTGTGTGTGTGTGTTGGGGGGGGGGTGCACCTCAGTAATTGATAAAGGTTAATTATTATATTATCTGTGTTTCTAAATACTGAACATATTCCTAAAGTCAGACAATATAGTTTACCTACCTCCTATGATAGTTACTTATTCTTTCCTCTCAAGTTTCACAGCATAACGTCTAGCATGCAGTAAGTTTTCAAAATTTAATATATATTTCTGTAGTAGTTCTTATCTCATTATATTAGAATTACTATAAGAAGCTCTGGTGGTGCAGTGGGTAAAGCTCTTGGCTGCTAACCCAGAAGTCGGTGACTGGAATCCACAAGCCGTTCCATGAGAGAAAGATATGGCAGTCTGCTTCTGTAAAGATCACAACCTTGGAAACCCTATGGGGTAGTTCTACTCTGTCCTACTAAGTCGCTATGAGTCAGAATCGACTCAACAACAGTGGGTTTGGTTTTGGTTTTGGGTATGAGGGGAAGGGCACATGTCAGTGTTTCTGCAAAGCTGAACTCCTGAAGGCCATCTCTGACTGCTCTCTTTATTTCCAGTTCCCAGAACAGTGCACCGGGGCTAGAGAGAGCTCAGCAAATGTTCATTGCATGAATGACTCTTCCCAAGAGCAGTGGCATTAATTAAAATCAATGAATCAACCTGCCAATCAAGCACAAGTGTAGCCTTCTGAGACACCAAGGCTGATATTTTTTGGCCAAGTAATTATTACTTCCAGTTGAGGTTCTTAGAATTTGAAGCCTGAGGAAGACTCTGTACTAAAATGGCTATTCTTGCGATGCTAGGTCATTTTTCATTCATTCAAAAGCTCTGATTGATTACTAGCAAGTGCTACGCCCTGTATTCATCAAAGGGTATAAGAGGGTCTCTGCCTCAAGAAGCTCATTCAGTTTAGTGGCAAAGACAGTACTCGTGCAATTACAAAACACAACTGCAAGTATTATGACACAAATATGAACAGGGTACCACGGGCATATAAACGCAAGGTACTTTAATCCAGAGTCCAAAAGCTTCCCAGAAGAGGTCACACCTGAGGTGAATCTGAAAATATTCCCTTCTAGTCTCTAGTGCTCTGCTGTTTAACACAGTAGCCATTAGCTATGTGTAGCTATTTCAATTGTGAAGCTAATTAAATAAACAGAATTAGCTGTAGTTTTAAAATTAAGTAAACTCAGTTCCTCAGTCACCTAAGTCACATTTCCGGCACCCAACAGCCACATTTAGCTGGTAGCTACTGTACTGTATGGTGCAAATACAGAACATTGCCATCAAACAGAAAGTTCTATGGGACAGTGCTGTTCTGGGGCCTTCATTCAAATAAAGTACATAGTTTCCCTCTCGAAGGTCCCATAAAACAAGAAGAGGTAGAACAGATGCTTAAAGTACAGAACTGCATTCAATTCATCCAACAATCTATTGTAAGACTCAGGTCCCCTGACAACACAGTATTTTAACTAAGGATATTACTCAAACAAGTGAAAGAAGGAATTTCTATCTTTGATTCCACCTTTGATAAAAACATTTTATATGGAAAAAAAAAAACCTAAGAGTCAGTCTGAAATAGGAAAAGAAAATGAGAAGAGAAGGCAGAGAAGAGAAGGCAGAAATACAGAGGGTTAAACGTTGATTGGGGGAGAGTTCATCCTTTCCACCAGCAGCTCCATTGTGCCTTTAGGGGAAATTTGTAGACTGGGAGGTTCTGATATTTTTAAGTCTTTCAAGGTTGAATGTCTCTTTAAAGACATGACCTTTTTATTAAAGATGCAGTTAACAAAAATACCATTAACCAAAAGCATCACAGCGAAATAAATGGAACTGTCTCTACCTCTCAAAACCAGAATGTAATTATTCTAAAAATAAAGAACAGAACAAGATATTATACACGCAATCACAACGTAAAACTTTTCAAACATTTTTAAAGCAGCATTTATGACAAGGCAACTTACCAGCTCAGATTTGAAGTAGCCTATTGTGTTTTCATCCAGTTGGAAATACCTTCTCTTCCAGTTTTTCATCTACCGGAGAAGATACAGACATGAAAGGCCTGTTTCTAAGAAAGGCCCATGTTAATCACCACTCAGTTACTCTGACAATGACGACATGATCAGAAATGCCAGCACTGAAAAATCTACGTGAATTAGAGTTGCCAGAGTTTGAAGAGTTTCAAGGACTGCTTTACTCACAGACATTTTTTTCCTTTATTTTCAAACTTTAAAGTTTATTTTCCCATGAAACGTTAAAGATTTAGTTCACACAAGCAAGAACGTCTTTAATTTTCGAAAGGTACTTTGGAATTCTAGAAATATTGGTAAATTTACTTGCTCTGCCTGGCAAGTCTCCATCATGGATCCAGCTGTGTGAGGTATCCGGGCCAACTCCCACCAGCTTTTATCAAGTGTCAGCTACTATGCTGGTACTCCTATGTATGCCTGTAACAAACTCTGGATGCTAAGTCTTATAACATGACTTTCCTTAAAAGAAAAGCTGAGAGCCTGAGAGGTTAAATAAGCAAGGTCACAGAGCTCTCAATCAAGGTCAATTCAACACCAAATCAAGTTTTTAGGTTTCCGTACCTGCTACTCTGAGTGGTCCCTTCACAAGCCACTCCCCCCGCCAACTGGACCACCTTCTCCCTACTTGAGCTCTCTTTTCCTGACCCACACCTACCGTGGTGGGGGCGGGGAGGGGCAGGAAATCAAGACAAAAACTTTCCAGAACAAAGTGAAACTGCTAGGAAAGCCCATTTCCACTGAAGGTCACTGTGACAGACATCGAGTATCCAGCCGCCCACAGCCCAAGGAAATACTAGCAATGAGTTAGGACATGAAGAACCCTATTCTCTCCCGACTCCCTGTCTCAGCGCACTGGTCTCTCACTTTGGGTCTTTCATAAAACAAAGCCAACAATTTCTTTGTTAATTTGAGAGTTTGCTATTTAACAGACTCATTTTTCATATTTCACATATTTGGTTAAGCTACTCACCACTGCTCCCTGCTTGACACAATATCCAGCTTTGATAACTGCGCTATCTGGAGGTGGCTTAGGAGTAAAATAAGGAAGATGGCTTTGTGATCGTTTCAGATTATTTCTATCAATACTTTCACCACACTCGTTGACTTCTTCTTTCTAAAATGAAGCAAAATAATCATGAATCCTTTCTTTTTGGCTCATTTAGCTCCAAAGCATAAAGTATAAATTCTTAAAATCTATTTTAGTTCAGTTAGGAACACAGATTTTCAAGTGAAGAGTTTTCTAATTAATCTGAGATACTTAATCATAACTTTCACATCATTGATTAAATGACAAAAATCCATTTCTCTTGTTCAGCAAAAGTCTTGCCATCAATGTTTTTTTTTTTATTGTGGGGGGAGGGAAGCTAATTTCTTATTTCGAAATAATTACACAGATTCATAGGAAGTTGTTTTAAAAAAACGTACATATACCCTTCGACCAGTTTCCACCAATAGGGAAACTGCATAACTATAGTACAATATCAAAACCGGGAAATAGACATTGGTACAATACGTAAACCTTACTCAGATTTCTCTAGTTTTACATGCACTCGCTTGTCTGTGTGTGTACATACGGTTCTATACAACTTTATCACGTGCGTAGATCTGCTCCATTATCACAAGGTTCCCTCATGCTATCCATTTGGACGCCCAGCCCTAATCCCCAGCAACCACTAATTTGTTCTCCATCTCTGTAATTTTAACATTTTAAGAATGTAATATAAATGGAATCAGACAGTAGTAATATAAATGGAATCATACAGTAGGTAAACTTTTGAGATTGGCTTTTTTTCCCACTCGGCATAATTCTCTAGAGACTCATCCTGGTTGTTGCTCAGATCACCAATTCGTTCCTTCTTTATTGCTGCACAGTATCGCACAGTGTGGAGTGTTTAACATTCACCCTCTAAAGGGCATGTTAGTTGTCTCCAGTATTTGGCTGTCAGGTGTAAAGCTGCTATGAATATTCATGTACAGATTTTTGTGTAAACGTAAGTCTGCATTTCTCAGGAATACCTGCCCAGGAGTGCAAATCCTAAAGAAGCCCTGACAGCGCAGTGGATAAGTGCTCCGCCTCTAACCAGAAAGTCGGCAGTTTGAACCCACCAGCCGCTCCATGGGAGAAATATACGGCACTTCGCTTCCATAAAATTACAGCCTTGGAAACTCTTGGTTGGCAGTTCTACCCTGCCCTGAAGAGTCACTACGAGTTGGATTCGACTTGACGGCAACCAGATTTTAGTGCAAGTTCTGGGTTGCGTGGTAACTGCATGTTTATTTTTATAAGAAACTGCCAAACTGTTTTTCAAAGTGGCTGTCTACTGTACCAGCAATGTATGAGTGATCCAATTTCTCCTCATCCTTGTCAGAATTTATGTTATCATTCATTTTCATTCTAGCCATTCTGACAGGTATGGTATTATGTTATCATTTGTTTTTATTTTAGCCATTCTGATAGGTATGGTATGTAGTGCTATCTCACTGGTTTTAATTTGCATTTCCCTAACTGACAGGTCAGTGGTTTTAACCTACCAGCTGCTCTGAGGGAGACAAGATGTGGCAGTCTGCTTCCATAAAGATTACAGCCTTGGAAACCCTATGGGACAGTTCTACTCTGTCCCACAGGGTCGCTATGAGTTGGAATTGACTTAACAGCACACAACTACAGCAGTGGCTAATGACGGTGAACATCTTTTCATGAGCTTATTTGTCACCCGTATATTTTTTTCAGTGAAATGTCTGTTCAAGTCTTTCACCCATTTCCTAACTGGATTCTTTGGTTTTTTACTGTTGAATTTTTAGAGCTCTTTATATATTCTGGGGCCCTGGTGGTTAAGAGCTCAGCTGCCAACCAAAAAGGTCAGCAGTTCAAATCCATCAGCTGCTCCTTGCAAATGTTATGGGGCAGTTCTACTCTGTCCTATAGAGTCACTATGAGTCAGAATCGGCGCAACAGCAACAGGTTTGGTTTTTTTTTTTTTAAATATACTCTAGATACAAGCCTTTGTTGGATATGTGGTTTGCAAATATCTTCTCTCAGTCTTTAGCTTTTCTTTTCACTTTCTTAACAGGGTCTTTCACAAGGCAAACATTTTAATTTTGATGAGGTTCAATTTATTATTTTCTTCCTTTTACGGTTGTGCTTTTATGTCAAGTCTAAAAACTCTTTGCCTAGTCCTAGGCCCTTTTTTCTAAAAGTTTTATAGTTTTATGTTTTACATGCATATCTAGTGCTTTTAACAACCCATCTAGCTATACCCAGGTCTTCACGTTATCTGAAGCACTGGCTTCCTGTTTGTTTATAACATATAACAGATCTGATCATCTAGAATCCTACAAATAAGCCAAAGGTATATTTTCAAGAACTCCTAAATTTCAAAAGAATAAGTACTCAAGTCATATTTTGAGGAATTTCCAACCTGTTCTACATTTATATAGGTCAATAGCACTAGGTACTTGACTTTATAATCCTAGCACTTAATTCACTGCTTACCCAATATTTACTCAATTAATTTATCATGCAGATGAGATTTACTTCACATTTTCTTTATAATATATAGTTTAAATATGTTTATAATGAGTAAATATTACTTTAAAATAAAAAAACTATACTGAAAAATGATAAAGCAATTAAACTCTTTGGGATATTTTTAATGGCACCTGTCGTAGATCCTAGAACCTACTGGAAAATCTGCACCAAAATTAAAATGCAACAAAATCTTGTTTCTATATAAAATTAAAATAGCCACATACACAATCTATTACAATATCTTAATAAACTACAGACAAATAGTTTTGTCCCTTATGTCAAATCAAGACGCAACACAGGTGTAAAAAGCTTAGTCTAGCTACAAAGTAACCAGAACTTTAAGACGTTAGTCATTATTTTGTAAAGACAATGCACACATACACACATAATCCTAACTTATTTTTTATCAACTTTGGAGCTGGGATTTTTATTCACTCAATAAATATGTATTGAATTAATTACTGAATGGTGTAAGTCTTCTTTCGGCTAATCACCCACCTCTGGCAAAAGACCTGAAAATATGGTGGGTAATACAATTTGCTTTAAAAGGTTTATAAAGTGCCAAGTCTTTTATGTACAAAAGGCACACAGGTAAAAAAAAATGCCTATTGATGGCAAAACCAATTAATTTATTTTAAAATTCTTGGTTTCTCAGTTGTTAATAATTTAATTTGCATTACAAACCCTCAACAGCGCTACAAGAGTTAAGCTCAGACAAAAATTGTTTGATTTTTTTAATCAAAAATTGTTTATACCATCTCTATATGGACCATTCAGTGACACTGATTACATTCTTTTAGTCCAGTATATTACTGTATGCAACCATTCTTACCCCACTGCTATGGACTGAAATGTATCCCCCACAAAATATGACTTGTAAATCCTAACCCCTATACCTGGTGGCAAAGTGGTTAAGCACTCGACTGCTAACGGAAGGATCGGCGGTTCAAATCCACCAGCCGATCTGCAGGAGAAAGATTCAGCAATCTGCTTCCATAAAGATTACAGCTCCTTGGAAATCCTATGAGGCAGTTCTCTACTCTGTCCTGTAGGGTCACTATGGGTACGAATCAACTCGACAGCAACAGGTTTGGTTCTTACACCTGTGGTTATAATCCCATTTGGGAATGGGTTTTCTTTGTTACGTTCATCAATACATATCTGTGTAGGGTGTTTTTTAGGCCAATCACCTCTGAGCTATAAAAAGAGCAGATTAGGCATACGGAAGCAAGCAGAAATGGGGGAAGATAGATGTCACACCACATGACGATTGCCAAAGAACCAAGGAACAGGGAACTTCCCTCAGAGCTGACAGAAAGAGAAAGGCTTCCTCTAGAGACTTCTCTGAATTCTCCTAAACCATGAGAAAATAAATTTCTGTTTGTTAAAGCCAAAAAAAAAAAATTGTTTCTAAATTTCTACTGCGCATAGGACTTAATTCAGCATAACAGTACAGTACTTTCTGAATAGAATTAAGTCAGAATTCTAGTTCTGTTTAGTTAACCTATGCCAGGTGTGGAAAAAAGGGTTTAAAAAGTTAAATGCAAACTCTTAAGAATTTATCCTTAAAAAATTATTATCAATGTTTCTAGAGTTTTAACTATAAAAATGTTCATCATAGCATTGCTTATAAATGGAAAAAGAACACATTTGTCCAACAACAGGGATTTGTAAATTACAGTAAATCCACAGTAGAATTACTATGCAGCCCTTAAAAATGATGTAGAAAATTTTTGATGACTTGGAAAATGTTTGAAATAAGTAAAAAAAGCTGTTTACAAAGTTTAACATACAATTCTTATCCTGTTTCTGGGGGGGAAACTTAAAAAATGGCTCAGAGTAGACATGAAAAGTGTCATTTATCTGTGATTTCCAAATTCTACACAATAAGTACATACTTTTGAAATAAGAAACAAAAGTAAGGGTTTTTTTTGGTATTAATTTAGTACTATATTAATTCAGTAAAGATGTACTGTTTTGGTTTTATTAACAATATAAAAATCGATATAGAGTAATGAAACCATCACAGAATAGCATTAATTTATTACCTGAGTTGGTGTAATGATGGGGACACCACCAACAATGTCAGTTCTGTAAGACACTTGCTTCTTTGCACATGGATATTCACCCTGGCGACTTAGGTTATCAGAATGAGGCTGTGAGTCAGATTGCTTTGGTACCTGAAATAGTAAGTCAAGTGGATCATTTTGCAATTATATACGCAACTCTCTTTTATCATAGAATTTCCAACTAATCGTTCATTAGATACAATTAACGAATCCCTATAAAATTATTCAAAAGGTATGCACGTGTGCATGTACTCCTGTCAAGTTCTCATGCTACCTCTTCTATTTTACAGTCATAGTTTATAAAACCACCAGCCTTTTACTGAGTACTTATTCCAGTACCATTTCAGACATTTTCTCAATCCTCTTAACAGCCCTATGCCATAGGGGCGGGATCCCCATTTTAGAGATAAGGAAAGAGAGGCGTTAGGGATCGCAGGTTTAGATCTTGGCTCTACCACTTTCTAGCTAAGTTTGTGTAGTTCTCCTCCAAACTCACTCTACTTCCAGTTTATTAGAGCACTTAACATGGTATGACAGGCCTTAGTTGCTATCCTGCCCTTTCCTCCACTCCTACCCATGATTCTCGAGTTTCCCTGAGGAGCCCCAGGACAGTCTGCTACCAAGCATATAGTAAGTATTCAATAAATGTTGAAAGACAGACTGAACGGATGAATTCAAACAGCTTTAGAAAAAAAGAATAACAGAATACTTGATGTAAAATCAAAAGTCAGAATGTTCAAAATACCTTAAAACTTATTAGGAATTTAAAAAAAAGAACACTAACACTTAATTCAGTTTAAACTAATCTGTAAAAACAATGATAGTGACAGTAGTAGACTCTCATATATTAATTGCTCATTAAAGTGAAATCAAAGGATCAGAGGTATCACAAATGTGTAACATATTTTAGCTTTCTTATGGAGTCTAAAGGATAAGGTACACGGTTAATCTTTTTTTTTTTTTGTCTACAGATTGTTAACCATATAGTCTGTATTTCAATTATTAATTTTTTAAGGCTCTGAATAAAATGTAATAAAATATGCACAGCATCAATTATGATGCTGAACATGATTTAATCTCTGGTAATGTAAAGGGCATTCGGGGATCCTGTAGTCTGTCAGAAATATTATGACAAACACTATTGACAACAGCAGTGTAAAAATATTTTATTTAAAATTAAATAACCTGCCTGTTAACAGGGTACTGGCCCAATGACAGGGGACACCATTTACGGTGCATTCAAAGACCCGATACATTTGTGTAACTCCAAAGCAGTGGCTTCTCAAGCTTTAGTGTATGTAAGCTACCACCCAGGAACACTGTTAAAAACTTTATATGATATGATGCTACTCACACCAGGTTTGCAGAAAAGCAGGCACACAATGGTGTTTGCAGGCAAGGCTTTACAAAGAAGGTTTTTACAAAACATCGGCAAATGACAGCATGTATGAGAGGACGCTGACCTCTAGTAGATCCCAATCCACATGCATAAACGTAATTTATCTCTTGGGTGACTTCTAAAACTTATTCTCCTCTCCTTCTATACACTTCTCCTATCCCTTGAGATGCTTCTGCTCCCAGCTTTCTCCCCAGGCCTCAAACCCAACCCTCTAGCCCTCTCATCATATTCGCACTACAATGCTAGTCTCTGGCAGAAAACAGAGGGGAGAAACCGGGAGAGGAAGAGAAAGGAAACTTGAAGGCGAATTCTTAAGTTCTAAGAGTTTTTTCTAGAAGGTTGCACATTTTAGAGTGCTTTAAAAAGAAAATACAATAACGGACAGAATTTTACTTGGGAAGATTCCCATAAATACATAAGATTGAAAGAGTTTCAAAGGATATCCTACCCTGAAACAATTTACTGAGGAAGACCACAGTATTTTCTAATGAATGCTGTGGCTGTGTGCCATGGAGTTGATTGCAACTCACAGCGACCCCTGAGCAGAACTGCCCCATAGAGTTTCTTAGGCTGTAAATCTTTACAGGAACAGATCACCAAGTCTTTTCTCCCATGGAGTTGCTAGTGGGTTCAAACTGCTGTCCCTTAGGTTAGCAGCTGAGCACTTAACTGTTGCACCACCAGGGCATCTTTTCTAATGAAAAGCATCACGTACTTCAATTATTTTGACAGGGAAAAGACAGCCAAGTTATCCCACTAAGCACAAAAAGTAGCATTAAGAGAATTTAAAACCAGAGAGAAAATGATCGATTCAACTGTATTAGATGAAGCGTGCTGCTAAGAGGTGAGCCATGTGAAAAGCAGTAGCTATTCCCTCTTTCAAGAAGTTGAGAGAGAACTACACATGGGTACTTCCTAGCTGAAGAAACCACATGTAAATGATTGGAGATATATATATCTCACCCTAAAAACAGACTGAAATTTATATTGCTTTTTCCATTTTTCTTCCAGAAATGACAGTATACTAAAAAAATCTTTTGCCTATACTATTAAGCTCATCACTTCTGATTTGTCCTTATTATAAAACCAATGCTCAATACAGCACACTTCCAATGTTAAAGTCCAATAATTTATAATTGTATATTATAATAAAAATTATCTAAATTGTAATCATCTTGTTCCCCAAGGACAAGAAAAATACAAGCAAAATACCCATGAATGTACATAGCTCCCTTAAAAAGTCTGAATGAAAAGTTAGTGTAAATTCACCTATTAAAATAACTTATTTTAGGCACTTGGGCAGATGTAGCTGTGGCAGCATGCTTGTCCGTCTTCCCCTTCTTGCCTACTCTGAAATGTTCCTTGGACTCGGGCAGACATGGCTGTGGCAGCATGCTTGTCCGATTTCTCGCTTTTGCCTTTTTGAATATATGCCACATAAAACTTTCGTTTTGCTTTAAAAATAAAATATTTTAGGACAAAAAAGCAATCAGCCAACAGCTTAATGAGAATCAGAAAGTGATTTCACTAGACAGAACACAAGGGCCAAAGACACTGATTACGCTCTGGTTCTATTGCCTCATGTCCTTTTTGCTTTCCCTTCCTCTCTAGCTTCTTTTATGTGACTCTGTCTTCTGTGAGATGGCTGAATGTAGCATTTCTGGCAGGTATTGATCCCTTGGGGGTGTCACCTGCCTAACAGCAGGAAAATAAAAGGTAAAAATAGCCAGAGAATGAAGAGATGGACAAAATGGATATAAGAATTTACGAGTGAAATAAACGATAATGCTGCAGGTTTCTCGAAAGTTAAAGGGAAGGCTAACGTTTGATTCCGTGAGAATGATGACAGGGCTTGAGGACTGAAACCTCAAGTGTTCAAACGCAAACCCCTGAGTTTTATGACCTTTCAGAGGGTTCTATGCATGACCGGCCAGCTGAAAACCACTAGCATAAAGTCAAAAGGGCCTAACAATTTTTGTACCTAGACCATTTGGTGAGGGACCCAAGTCCTATATCCAGCTTACTCTAACTGCTCCCACTAGCCAACTTAAAAAATAAAAATAAAAAAATCAAAAGGGTGGCGTTATTGCCACAACTTCAAAAAGACTAATTTTTATGTTAAAACTAATATTAACTTTTAAATTATAATCTATGGTGGAAAAAAAAGACACTTATTATTAAATAAATAAGTAGTGTTTCCGCTTAGAAATAAACCATATACATCTTACATTCCTTCATAATCAATAAGAGCTCAGAGACCACCATTTTTATACTGTTGTTATAAATGAATAGTTACTTGAAAGCATACTTTACAATTTGATTTTCCAAACTCTAGTCATTGATACTTCCTTCAGTGTTGGTTCCTCTACTATTGTTCTCCGTCTTTTTTTAAATAAGGGGAAAAGAATATAAATGGTAGTCATCAACTCACATTCATGTAGACCTAACGAAAGTAACTAAAGAATGCCACAGATCATGGTGTCGAAGGACAGTTGCATTAAGATGGCAAGATTCTATAAGTAAGTAGTAGTTAAATAATCACCATTTCCTCACCCACTACCCTGTAACCACCTCTATCCTTTAACTACACACTTCTATAATCTAATTTGAGATGTGGAAAAATTTTAGTTTTATGTACCATGTAGTACTCAGATCATCACTAAATTACAGAGTTGACTAAAATGCTACTTGGAGTGATTCCACAGGAAGATAAACTGCACATATATTACGATATAAATGTTATTTTTTTCAAAGAAGCCACATGTAAATCACCAACAATTTCTATGGGAAAGTATGACATATTACAAATTCCATACTGTATACATTTAAATGTTTAAAATGCATATAAAATGGGTAAGATTTTCTCAAAGAATAAAATTAAAGTATGAGAAATCCATTGCTATTCTATGAATTAAATCTGTATCCATATAAAGCTGATTTTTAGTTGTTGTTATTAGTTGCTGTTGAGCCGTCTATGACTCATGGTGACTTTATCAATTCTATATTCACTTTTGTATAGTTATTATCACTTTGCTGACAAACTAAGGATTTCTATCTTACACGTTTATATTTTCTAAATGTGAATTATAAAAATATGAAAATCATCTACCAACAAATTTATCTTTAAAAACTTTAAAAAAGCTGCAAGACCACAAAAGCTATTTAAAGTCCCCACACTTTAAAACGTGACCCAGTCCCTCATCTCCTTCTCTATCACGGTAACAAGTTTAACAGAAGCATTTGTGTAAGAATGTTTCATTCCATTAAAAAACTGGATACAGCAATTCAAGAACCCCCCAAGCGGTAAAAAGCCAAAGATCACTGACTATCTGTCTCTGAATGCACTCAGAAACCAGCGCTGCCTATTATTGCAAATTGGACCAAAAAAATAATTCAGCAAACTTACTAGAAATTGTCTTTCTAAAGAAATTTTCCAAGTACAGGATGTTTATTAAAAGAGTCAAAAGTGATCCGTTAAAATCTTTTGAGAATACGTATTTCTGAATCAGTTAAAAAATTGCTTTCCTGAAACTGCACAAACCTAAAATAACTTCTGCTTCATGCACAAATCATGCGTGGGTGTTTGCTGTCACGTGGTAACAAGCTGTTCTGTAGCAAAACAAGAAACTGAGTTTAACTCCGAGAACAGCTTTAATTATATTAACTCTTTACTGTGTTGTGACATAACTATGGAATCATCCATTTTAGACGAGAACTAACAAGACAGTAACATATACCAGCCTCCAGGGTACATGTTTTATGAGAAAAAGTCATTTAGGGTCAGCAAACAACTGCACTTCAGTAAAAACACATTTCCATTTATACACAATTTACACTTTCTCCATGCAGGCCTACTGTGTGTTTCTCTGTAAGAGTGTGGGGAGGAAAAGGTGAGGTGGGTACAATCAGGGCAGACAGCCTGTCTGCTTGGTCATCAACATCAGTAGAAAAATCTTCGGAAAGTTTGTTTTGGGACTTAGGAACAGGAGAATTAGGAAAGAACTCCTTTTTCAGGAAGCCGTAAGGCACCGTGGTTCAGAGGTCAGGCTCCAGAGTCAGGCTGACTGGGTTCAGATCACAACTCTCAACTCAGCAGCAATGAAATCTGTAAAAGTTGCTCAATCTCCCTAAACCTCACTTTTCCAGATAATTTAGGTAAAACCTTTAATATAAGGCTTGGCACACTGTACATAATCAATAAACAATAATGCTCATCAAAAAAGCAAAGGAGAAGTCCAGGTTGGAGGTAGGAAGCCGTAAGCATTGCAAGGAGTGCAAGGTACCAAGGCCTGGAACTCCAGGAAGAAAGAGGTGAGAGAAGCAGGGCGGAGCCTGAGACAACCTCCCCACTTGGGCAGGACACTCCGCCAAGGCCGGATTAAGGTATGTGAGGGTCCTAAACACTGATAATCTGTGGTGCCCCTCCTCCGCTTACTCATGCATTTGAACAGGGTATGTGAGTCAGATACATATATGTATATATACATATGTGTGTGTGTTTTAGCTATCGATGATGTATTTCTTTTTAAACACAACTATAATATTAGCGATTGAACGCAAAAGTGGCGTGAGCCATTTTAGCGGAATGAGAAGAATTGGATTATAAATTTTTTTGTGGATGCGGGCTACTAAGATTTTTACTATATTCATGTTTTCTACAAAAAAGAATAGTCCACATATTCTACAACAAAGAAAATGAGTCAGTGAACTTAGTTGTTTCAACAGTCAATGTAAAATTCTGCTGATCTCCCAAAACGAAACTTTCACCCACTTTGCTTTGAATGAATCATACTTCAATTTTGATGCATGTTTCATAAAAAATCCTATAATCATAAATGAACAAATGAAAAGACGTCATAAAAATTTAATGATCAGAAGACAAATATTACAACAAATTCCTGTATTTTATTTTTAGATCGATCTTTCAGGTTATAATTAAAAGTATTTCTTTCTATTCTTAGCTCTTATAAATTCTTCAATGATTTTATCACATTTAAGCTGCTGAATAAATCTACTTCCATACATAATAAGGATAATGAATCAAGTCTTTCTTGAATCACTGTTGTGTGCTCACTTTTCCTTGTGTCCTATCTGCTTGGCATCTATGAGTCTTTGCTTTGGACAACTGGTGTCCCTGTTTTGTTGATGCCCTAAGCACTTGCTTACCTTGCTTATTGGGTAATCTGTCCCTGCCTTCTGCTGCCACAGCTTCTCAGATCCAATCCCTACCCTGGTACCTCATTTCTAAGCTCTTTACCTCTCCTCGTCCTGTTCTTGCCTTCAACTCCTGCCCTCTCTGACACCAGTCCCAGGCATGGCTTAGAAGACAGAACCGCCCACTTCCACTTTAGAAGAAAACATCCTCAAAGTAGAACTCTACAACTGCACTTTCCCCTGGAAACATTATTGTTAGCAGTGGTGAGAATTTGTAGTACTATGTATCATTACTAAGGTACATAATGGGTTAAGCAGGGATTCATGGGCCAAAAGTCACCATGACAAGAAAATGGATTCATATTTTAAGCAACTGTCTTTTAAACAAACTCCAGATATACAACCGGTTGGTAAGGTGGGGACACTGGGTAGGTGATTCTCAAATTGTTAACGACTACTTCCAGACATTAGAAACTTTTCAAAAAAAAAAAATACTTACTGTAATTTTTATAGCTTTGTTCAACACATTTACCCATTCCACTAGGTCCTGCTGATCATTGGCTTGTAGGAAGTATTTCCTCATCCCTGCATTCATAACTGTTGAGAGAAAAAATAAACTACAGCACACGAAATTTTGTACTTGTTACCTCTAAATTTATATTTACAACAGCTAAAAAACCTTGCTAGGTTTCAATATTGTGACTTCCCTGGATTTGACGAAATGTTAGATCATACTAATACTCCTTTTATCACCTGATAACATTGGTAAACCTCTTATTTTTAATGGCCACATGGTTTTTCATTAAATGCAAATACTGCAATACACTGAGCCAATCTCCAAATGATGGACATTTAGGCTATTTCCAATTTTTGAAATTACAAAAAATGTCACAATGAAACATCATATATGTACATTTCTCCATACTTGGTCTAGTATTTCTCTAGGATAAATTTCTTGACACAGACTTATACTGGGTCAAAGGGAATTCACATTTAAGAATTTTAGAGATATTAGCAAACTGCCTTTCCAAAAGGTTGAATCCATTTACATTCTCACCAACAATGTATGAAAACACCTGTTTCATCTAATACCGCTCACTAGTTCTGGTTATTAGCACTTGTGCTGGTTATGAATCTATCGTTTTCATCCCAAGCCTCAGCAACACTGGGGTTAGGAATCTGCAAACTGTATTTTCTAGACTTCTTTGTCAGCTCTAGGGATGCTCTGCCAATGGGAGGTACTGATGGGAAACTGGAAGGTGGCAGGTGGGGAGGAGAGAGAGGGTTTCTTCTTGATTCCTGCCCCAGCTGGTCTCCCTCCAGCAGCAGCACACAGATAGCTACTGCTCCAGGGTCTTTTTTATTGTTTAACATTTTGTTGTGCTTTAGGTGAAAGTGTACACAGCAAATTGGTTTCCCATTCAACAATTCACATACAAATTGTTCCATGACATTGGCTGCAATCCCCGCCCCTTGAAATGTGTTGGTACTTTCCCATTTCCACCCTGCCTTCCCCATTTTCATCCTTCTAGTTTCCCTGCCCCCTTGCCTTCTCATCTTTGCTTTTGGGCAAATGTTGCCTGTCTGGTCTCGTTTAGTTGACTGTTCTAAGGAGCACATTCCTCACGGGTGTTCCTGTTTATTTTATATGCCAATCTATTATCTGGCTTCAGTTCCAGGTAGAAAGGGTGTCTTAGGGCAATAGTTTTGGGGGTTCCTCCAGTCTCCATCATTCCAGTAGTCTGCCTTTTTTTTTATGAATTTAGAGTTTTGTTCTAATTTTTCTCCCATTCTAACTGGAACCTTCTATAGTGTCCCTGGTCAGGGCACTTGGCAGTGGTAGCTGGGCACCATCGAGTTCTTCTGGTCTCAGGCTAGAGGAGGCTGTGGTTCGGAAAGGCCACTAATCTTTTGGACTAATTTCTTCCTTGAGTCTTTTGGTTTCCTTCGCTCTCCTTTGCTCCAGATGGGAAGAGACCAACTGTTGTATCTTAGATGGCCACTCATAAGCTTTTAAGATCCCAGGTGCTACTCACCAAAGTGGAATGTAGAACATTGTCTTTATGAACTATGTTATGCCAGTTGAGCTAGATGTCCCTCAAGACTATGGTCCTTAGCCTTCAAGCCCAGTAACTCAGTCCCACGAGGTATCTGGATATGTCTAAGATGTTTCCGTTACTGTGTTGCCTATGTGCTCTCTTATATATGTGAATATACCTTAGGTCAGTTCCAACTTATAGCGAACATATGTACAACAGAACGAAATACTGCCCAGCCCTGTGCCATCCTCACGATTGTTGCTATGTTTGAACGCATTGCTTCAGCTACTGTGTCAGTTCATCTCATTAGGGTCTTCCTCTTTTTCGCTGATCCTCTACCTTAACAAGCATGATGTCCTTCTTCAGCGACTGGTCCCTCCTGACAACATGTCCAAAGTATGTGAGACAGAGTCTCGCCATCCTCACTTCTAAGCAACATTCTGGCTGTACTTTTTCCAAGACATTTATTCGTTCTTCTGGCAGTCCATGGTATATTCAATATTCTTCGCCAACACCATTAATTTAAAGGCATCAATTCTTTTTTGGTCTTCCTTATTCACTGTCCAGCTTTCACGTGCATATGAGGTGACTGAAAATACCATGGCTTGGCTCAGGTGCATCTTAGTCCTCAAAGCAACATCTTTGCTTTTCAGCACTTTAAAGAGGTCTTTTGCAGCAGATCTGCCCAATGCAATACATCATCTGAATTCCAGACTGCTGCTTCCATAGGTGTTGATTGTGGATCCAAGTAAAACGAAATCCTTGACAACTTCAATCTTTTCTCCATTTATCATGATGTTGCTTATTGGTCTAGTTGTGAGGATTTTTGTTTTCTTTATGTTGAGGTATAATCCATACTGAAGGCTGTAGTCTTTGATCTTCATCAGTAAGTGCTTCAAGTCCTCTTCTCTTTCAGCAAGCAAGGTTGTGTTATCTGCATATCGCAGTTAACTTTTTCATGTATACTGGTGTATAGAACTACCACTCTCCTTTTTCGCTCCTGGAAGTTTACTGGCAGGCATTCGAGCCACCTTAGTACGTTCTAGTGTCATGGCGGATACTGGGGCAACTGCATATTTGAGTGTTGAGGGCCACTTTTATGAGGAGATGCTTCCTGGAGCAGTGATTGTACAAAACCTCTGTGTCTTTTGGCTTCTGTACAGTGAGATAAGGCTTGCAAGTATGTTTACTATTTCCTTTGTGTGACTAGGAAGATATTGTTATCAGCATTCAGAAATATTCCAGTAAATGAGTTATTCTTGGAGTAAAAACAGTCTGTGATGCACTTTCTGGGCCATAGAACTCATATGTACCGTGTGTGTGATATGCTTCATGGAACACGGGACCAATACAGCCCACATGCATTAGTCACCTCCCTGGTGACATCTTTCATAAAGTATTTGCCTCCCTGAAAAGTTTGTGATGCACTTCCTGGGCAATAGGATCAATATGCACGGTGTTTGTGATGTACTTCACAGAACATGGGACTGATATAGCCTGCCTGCAACTGGCATCCCATTTTTTCAATAATAAAAACCTACCAACAAACAATGATTCAGCATCCACTCTGTCATGGATTGAACTGTGTCCCCAAAACATATGTCAACTTGGCAGGGTCATGATTCCCAGTATTGTGTAATTGTGTACCATTTTCTAATCTGATGTGATTTCCTTATGAGTTGTAAATTCAATCACTATGATCTAATAAGATGGATTAGCGGCAGTTATACTGATGAGGTATACAAGACTGGATAGTGTCTTAAGCCAATCTCTTTTGAGATATAAAAGAGAGAAGTGAGCAGAGACACGTGGGAACCTCACACCACCAAGAAAGCAGTGCCAGGAGCAGAGCGTGTCCTTTGGACCTGAGGTTCCTGGATAGAGAAGCTCCCAGACCAAGGGTAGACTGATGCATCACAAGAACCTTTCTCCAGAGCCGACAGAGAGAGAAAGCCTTCCTCTGGAGCTGATGCCTTGAATTTGGACTTGTAGCCTACTGGACTGTGAGAGAACAAACTTCTCTCTGTTAAAAGCCACCCACTTGTGGTATTTCTGTTATCGCAGCACTATATGACTAAGACACATTCCATTAGTGAAAAAACATGGCATCACCAAAAAATTCCAAAATAATAATTCATCCTTTAAAGGACAACTGGAGTCTTCCTCCAATTCTGATGTTGCATTCTTCCTCATATAGTCCAGCTTCTCAGATTATTTGCTCAGCATAGAGATTGAATAAGTATGGTGAAAGGATACGACCCTGACACACACCTTTACTGATTTTAAACCATGCAGTATCCCCTTGTTCTTGGTCTATGTACAGGTTCCTCATGAGCACAATTAAGTGTTCTGAACTCCCATTCTGCGCAATGTTATCCATAATTTATTATGTTCCACACAGTCAAATGCCTTTGCATAGTCAATAAAACTCAGGTAAACATCTTTCTGGTATTCTCTGCTTTCAGCCGAGATCCATCTGACATCAGCAATGATATCCCTCATTCCACGTCCTCTTCTCAGTCTGGCTTGAATTTCTGGCACTTCTGTGTAGATGTACTACTGCAACCATTTTTATCTTATGCAGCACAAAGAAATATGTATACACAATTACGTCCAACTATACCTATAAAAGCACCCACATGTACTCCCATACGTCCTCCCACCTCTACACAGCATACATACTATGTAACTATTCACAGATTTTTAGGTTGTTACTACTGTTGTTGCTGAACTATATATGGTAAAGTCGTTACTGTAGTTGTCCTTTATCCTTGGGTACCTCTCAGTGTCTTCATTTGCCTTGGTCACAATGTGCTGACTTCCCCCATATTGTGTGCTGTCTTTCCCTTCACCAGAATTAACATGTTATCTACTATCTACTAAGTGATTTTCCTTTCCTCCCCCTCCCATCCCTGGTAACCATCAAAGAATGGTGCTTTCTGTGAGCAAACCTTTTCTTATTATGGAAGTGGTATCATACAGTATTTGGCCTTTTGTGATTGACTTATTTCACTCAGCATAACATCCTCCAGATTCATCCATGTTATAGGATGTTTTGTGGACTCATCACTATTCTTTATTGTTGTGTAATATTCCACTGTATGTATGTACTACATTTTAGTTTATCCACTCATCTGTTGATGGACACTTAAGCTGTTTCCATCTTTTTGCTGTTGTGAATAATGGTGCAATGTCTATTCGTGTCACTGCTCTTACTTCTCTAGGATAAATGCTTAAGAGTGGGATTGCAAAATCATATGGTATTTCTACGTCTAGCTTTTTGAGGAAGCACTATACTGTTTTCCACAATGGTAACACCACTCTACAGTCCCATCAGCAGTATATAAGAATTCCCATCTCCCCATAGCAGTGCCAGCACTTGATGTTTTCTGTTTTTGTTTTTTTTAAATCAACGCCATTTTTGTTGGAGTGAGATGATATCTCACTGTAGTTTTGATTTGCATACCTCTAATGGCTAATGATCACAAGCATCTCTTCATGTGTTTGTTAGCCGCCTGAATGTCTTCTTTGGTGAAGTGTCTGTTTATGTTCTTTATC